ACTCTTGGAAATGAAAGTTCAGAGGCATTAAGTAATTTAACCAACTATGCATTGTCAATAAAGCTAGAACACGGATCTAACTAAGGTCTAATTCCACAGGCAATGTTTTTTTCTACCACTTCATGATAAGACTTGCCAAGGATCTATCAGCAAATAGCAGAGCTAGAATCCAAACTCAGATCTTCTAAATTCAATAGACTTTTTATCCTCCTGCCTCAGTCTCCTGAGCCATTGAGATTACAGGTATACGCCACCACGCATAGCTAAATTCAGTAAACTCTCTAATAAAACTATGGAATATGTGAAAACTGAAGAGGGCTTTTGGCTTTCTAAAAAAAATAAGATGCCTTATCAGATGAAATGGAAAAACAAGACACTGCCAAACATCACTGCCAAGTACTGTAATTATCAGTTCCTATGTCACACAACATCCAAAGGCACAGAGCTGGCTCTTCAGAACTTTTCACAGAATGTTACAAACAGCAAAACAATGCCATATATACACATGAAAAGATTTTTTTTTCTTCTTTGTGGTACTAAGGATTGAACACTGGGGTGCTCTGCCACTGAGCTACATCCTTATCCTCACCCCACCTTTTTAAAAAATGTTTTAAGTTTTTAGTAGTTACTTCCATAGTAGTGCCCATCCCTTTTTGTTTTTGAGACAGGGTCTCTAAGTTTTGAGTCTGGCCTCAAAGTTGCAATCCTCCTGCCTCAGCCTCCAGAGCAGCTGGGATTATAGGTGTGCACCAACCATGAGAGATAACTTTTAACTTGCACAAATCATTCTCTTCAAAACTTTATTTGTTCATTTACCAAAATTATTATTATTCCTGAAAATTTAAAACATATATACAAGTAACATAATGAACTCCCACATATCCATCACAGTCCCAGTAGTTATTAACCAAAGGTAATCATGTCCTATCTACTTCCCCCTTTACCAGATTACTCTGAATTAAATCCCAGGCATCACATCATTCCATCTATAAACAAGAAGTCCTTATAAATATATCTGGTTCAAATTTCCAATTATCCTCGACATATTTTTCTAAAGTTGGTGGGGGGGTGGGAGGAAGCTGGGCACAGTAGCACATGCCAAATAACCCAAGCAGCTCTGGAGGTAGGAGGATCTCAAGTTCAAAGCCAGCCTCAGCAACTTAGTGAGGCCCTATCTCTAAAACATAAAAAAGGGCTGGGGATAGGGCTCATTGGCTAAGCACCTCTGAGTTCAATCTCTGATACAAAACAAACATCAGCATCCAAATAAGGTCTACACAATGCAACTGACCGAGTATTTTAATTTATAGATTCCCCTTCTTTTTCTCCCTTCAATTTATTTGCTAAAGAAATACTACATGTGCATGAATGCATACACGTATCAAAAAATTATAAAAATATGGATGGGAATAAGAAACACCAAATTCAGCATAGTGTTTATCTCTGGTGGTGGGGAAGGAGGAGGAAAGGCAAGGTGAGATGAGCAGCTTCAGTTCTATCACTAATGATTCGCTTTTAAAAAGAGAATTAAAAAGCCAGGCACAGTGATATATACCTATAGTCCCAACTACTAGCGAGGATAAGGCAGGAGGATTGCAAGTTCAAAGCCAACTTGGGCAACCTGGCAAGACCCTGTCTCAAATTAAAAATTAAAAAGGGCTGGAGATGTAGTTTGGTGGTAGAGTTTCTATGGGTTCAATCTCCAGTACAACAAAGGGGGAAAAAAAAAAAAAACAGTAACAAGGGCTGAGGATGTGACTCAGTGGTAAAGTGCTTGCTTAACAGACCGGCCTAGGCTTGATCCCTAGCATCAAAAAACAATAACAAGAGCCTGGCCCACACACACCTGTAATCCCAGTGGCTAAGAAGACTGAGGCAGGAGGATTTTAAGTTCAACGCCAGCCTCAGCAAAAGTGAGGTGCTAACCAACTCAATGAGATCCTGTCTCTAAATAAAATACAAAAAAGGTCTGTACATGTGACATAATGGTCAAATGCCATGAGTTAAGTCCATAGTACCTCCTTCCCCCAAACAGAAAGACCTGAAACAAATATAGCAATACAAGATAAATCTGGATGGTGAGCATAATGGTATTCATTATTATGTTACTTCCTGTTTCTATATGCTTAAAGTATTTAATTAAAAGCTTTTTTTTAAATATAAAAAAGGGCTGGGGATAGGGCTCAGTGGCTGGGCATGATGGGGCAAGCCTGTAATCCCAGCTATCCAGGAGCATCACAAATTCAAGGGAAGCCTAGGTAACTTTGCAAAACCCTGTCTCAGACAAAATTCTAAAAAGGGCTGGGGATATAGCTCAGTGATAGAGCATTTGCTTAGTAAAAGAGGTCCTAGATTTGATTCCCATTACCACAAAAATAAACAAATAAATATTTCACAGTATAAAACCTATCTCAAAGGATTATTGCAAGAATTAGATGAGATGCAAACATAAAGCACTTAGCACACTACAGGCACAATCTAAGAGATAAATAAATGGTGGTTATCATTTCATCCCACCACCATCTCCCTTGAAAAGATTAAAGAAAAGCATAGGAATGGTAAGAAAAAGAGTACTACATTGATAATGAAAAGGCCTGGGGATAAGTCCCCTAGACCCTGCTGATTTAGAAATTATCAGTATTATTTATTAACCCAGCATTCAAACCATATTACCACTAAAAACCAGACAGAATGGAGATCTGAAATATAAGGCAAGTTCTGCGAATTAATGGTCACTGAAATACATCATATAGGGGTATGGACTAAATATTCAGAGACTTCAGCAACTCTCAATATCTCTGAACCTAAATATAGATGAACACTTCAAAAAAAGGGATATTCACTGTTAACAAGGATCAACTTCATCCTTGAAGATCAACTGAAGGGATGTTTACAAAAGCACTTTAAAATCTAAAAACCTCATGCCAATGAAAGTTGACTTCAATGAATCTGCAAGGGAGGAAACCCTCAGATAAAACTGAAGCTCTTAAGGTGAAGTTCTACAAGACAGCTTTATACTTCTGCCTGCCATTCTACCACCTTTCTTACTATCTTCCTGGTAATCTCCACTTAAAATATAGGGGCTCCTTTATTTTTTAAAGTAAAAAATATTTTTCCCATTTCCCAAATCTATCTTTTAATTCTGCTCCCCATCCCTGTGTGACCCTATTCTGTCCTTCCACATCTCTCTCACCTGTCCACCCCCTTCTTCACACTTCAGTGTACCACCCCCTCTCTCTGTTCTGTAACCTCCTGGTAGCAACCTCAGAAACTGGTTCCCTATCTATTTTTACCTTACCTCAGAAAACCTATTGCCTTCGAGCACAAAGCCTTCTTCAGGCCACTAAAACTGCAACCAGATGCAACCCCACATCCTCTTTCAAGGCTCTAAAACCAAAACCATTACCAAACTGTGTCCGACAGGCAGGGCCAAAACCAAGAATTATTTCCAAAGAAGAGGATTTCCCATTATTTAGCCTTTGATTTGCAACCTGTACTAAATGCAATATACGTGAAACACAAAGCACAAAAGGCTTTTTTATCACTCATAAAACGGGCCCAATATTTTTTTAAAAATCAAAGAGAACTGAAATTATCTAAGAATTCTGCAATTCCCTTTGAGATAACTAGAAACACTGTAGAATGGACAAACCACCCAGGGCTGGAAACTTCTGCTTCAGGTAACATTTCACTACATCAGGATGCCAAGACTCTCCACCAAAATGGTCATAGAAAGCAGGGACTACTAACCGTGGCAACGGGTTTCTATTTAAGAAGAAAAATGTTTTTTAAAACAATTTTTAAACAGGTGTGTCAAAGTTTGGAGCCCCTAACAAATACACAAAAACAATGCAGATCAGTTTAGGGAAGCTAGCAGGCAACTCAGTGATTTCTTGGTCCTCTCCAGAGCTCACTCTGCAATGCCAACTGCTTCCCCTCTACCTATTCATTGAAGACCAGGAGGAAGAATGGCACAAGTCTACCTTTCCGAGGATACAGCCTGGCCTCCCCCCGCCGCCCACGGCTCTCCAGAAATCTCATCGGCCGCGAGGCGGCGCCGCGCTACCGGTTGGGCTTTTACGCTTCCCTCTCCCCTCCCCAGAAGAGTCGAAGAATTCCCGCCTCCCCGTGGAAGGAGGGAGAAACGCGGGCTTTCTCCCCGCCCTTCCCCCAGCAGGGGCAAAATCAGCCCCTCCGCAGGCCGGGGCGGTGCACCCTCTCTCCCTAGGGACCACCGCCCATAGCCACACCTCGGCTGACCTCAGTCCCCTCTCCCTGAGGGGTGGGTAATCCTCTTCCTCCCGCACCCGCCCCGCGCCTCCGAAAGTCCGCGATCCTCTATCTCCCTCTATCTCCCGAGTAACACCCTCCCGCCGGGCGGGCAAGGGGCAGAGGCATCCCCCACCCACCTCCACGCCACTGCCCCCTCCCCCAACGGGCAGGGACAGCGGACATCGCTCATGCCTCTCAGCTGACCAGAAAGCCTCCCTTTTCCTCAGCAGGGTGAGGGGCGTCGCTCGCCCACCAACGTGGAGGTGGGGGGCAGGGATATCCTCCCGCCACCACCTCAGGAGCGAGAACTAGCCCTTCTCCCAACAGAGCGAGGGCCTCCCTGTCCTTCAAGGGGGCGGGCAGTGTGCGCGACCCCTTGGAGAAGCAACAGGCGCCCCCAACCCCCGCCCAGCCGACGAACGGCCGACCCTTCGTCCCTCCCGCTCTTCACCTCCGGAAGCCGGGCCAAAGCCTGGGCGAACGACTGCGCCTCACTCCGCCCCCTGCGCCATTTTATCGCCCCCTCCCCGACCTCCCCCACCCCGAGGCTGCCTGGCCAACGCCAGGGGGAGGGCAAATAAGCAGTGATTGGCAAGAAACCGCCCCGCCTCTGAGAGGGTTGCGCCCCGCGCAAACGCCGCAATCCCGCCCTCCGCACCTCCTACCCTCCCTGCTGGCTCCGCCCCTTCCCGTTTCATCTACTCACTCGACTCTCCTTTGCTCCAGACTCTCCCGGATAAGGCTAAGCGGAGAAGGGGCCAGGCAGAGAAAGCCGAGCGACGAGCTCAGCTGATGCAACCTGGCGGGACTCTCGTGACAGTTCCCGGCACGCGGCCGCGGAAGCGACGAAGGAAAAGACGCGGGTGCCTGCCGAGCGCGGGAAGCAGGGGTGACGGAGCCATGGGGGACGCTCCAAGTCCTGAAGAAAAGCTGCATCTGATCACCCGGAACTTGCAGGTCAGGCCTTGGGGTTGGAATGCGCAGTCCTGGGTCCAGTTATCCTGAGCCCCACTGTAGGGTAGGCTGGTAACTGTGTGGGGCAGGGAATCTCCGCACCGCGGCAACCCTGAGTAGCTACAGCCCTCGCTAATGATCGGTCCGGCAGTCAAGCAGCCATTCTCTGGATGCCACTGAAATCGCCGTGGACTCATCTCTTGGGTGTTGGAGCTGGGCTTTGAATCCTAGATTCCCATCGCACCCACGCTATTATGTGCCAGGCGTGGTGCTACGAGCCAGGAATATGTTAGGGCACTGCCCTCCAGAGCTGGCCTGGAGAGATCTGACCTTAATGAGCCATAACCTAAACCATTACAGTTTGGAGTACTGAAAGCACTGGGTTATTACACTAAGAAAAGGGAAGGCTGCCACGAGAAAGTGACCTTTAAACTCCCCCTGAAGGAGTGGATCACTCCTTAATTCCACAAATGTTCCTACTTTCACCAGGAACTCTAGGGATAGGACTTAAACAGAAGAAGAATGGAAAAATGGGGAGAAAAGCATTTCAGATGGAAGAGTATTGTCAAGATCCGGAAGAGGGGCTGGGGTTGTGGCTCAGCAGTAGAGTGCTCTCCTAGCACATGTGAGGTCCAGGGTTCAATCCTCAGCACCACATAAAAATAAGTAAATAAAATAAAGGTATTGTGTCTAACTGCAACTAAAAAATAAATATTAAAAAAAGATCCAGAGGAGAGAAAGAACCTTGTGGTTCAGAGAGAAAACTAATTTGGCCGAAGTGAACAAAGTGCTGCTCAGAACACTTAATATTTATGTTATTCATTTTCTTGCCTTCCTTCAGGCCTCTGACTATTGTCACCTTATTAGAAAAGCCTTTCTTTGCGGGGTAGGGTATTTGGGATTGAACCCAAGGCCTTGGGCTTGCCAGGCAAGTGAATTACCACTGAGTTGCACCCCTAACCCTTTTTAAATTTTACTTTGAGACAGGGTCTTGCTAAATTGCCCAGGCTGGTCTTGAACTTATGATCATCCTGCCTCAGCATCTGGAGTGTCTGGGCCACCTGCCCCAGCTAGGAAGGCCTTTTTTGAGCACTTAATTGAAATAATAATTTCCTTGCCACCAGAACTGTCTCCCCTATCTACAGATTTTAAGTTATTATTCCTAGATAGCATTTATCACCATCTGATATACATTTTATGTTTATTTATTTAGGAGAAGTAGACAGGTGCCAATTCATGAGGGTCTTGTAAGCTTTATTCTGCAAGCCCAGTTTAAAACTGGGCTTTGGGATGAGACTGTAGCTCAGTAGTAGAGTGCTTGTCTTGTACATAGGGTTCAATCCCCAGCACCATTAAAAAAAAAAAAAAAATCCTGGGCACTAAGTGCAGTGGTATATCATAGCTTGTTTTTTCTTTTTAATCCTTTTTATGATACAATTCAAATACTAAAAAAGTTGCCCCTTTACAGTGTACAATTCAGTGCATTTTTGTTTTGTACCATGACCACTATCTAATTGCAGAACATTTTCATATTCCCACTAGGGAATATGAAAACTTGTACCATTGGGAGCTGGGGTGGTGGCTCAGTGGTAGTGTGCTTGTCTAGCATGTGTGAGGCACTGGGTTTGATTCTCAGGACCTCATATAAATAAATAAAGGTCCATTGACAACTAAAAACTATTTTAAAAAAAACTTGTACCAATAGCAATCACCACTATCATCCCTCCCTCCAGCTCTAAAGGAAACACTAATCTACTTTCTGTTCCTACATATTTGTATATTCTGGACATTTCTTTTAACTGAAATTTGTGCTTCTTTCATTTAGCATAGGTTTGTCCAAGTTGTTATATCTATCAGAACTTCACTCCTTTTATTACTGAATTTACATTGTATGGACATACCAGATTGTGTTTAGCCATTCATCAGTTGATAGGCATTTGGATTGTTTTGTGCACAACTTGAACTTGACTCAAGATTTTTGCATGCTTCCCCTTGCCAAATCCTATGTTTCTTAACCTCTCTTCATAAAAGAGTGCTTGTTAGGGACATAAGATACACAAAGCCTATGGAATTGATTCTCTCAGGTTGTACAGGCCAATTGAAACCTTTCCTTGGGTGATGAGAATCCTCCAAGTGTCTAGATAGTCAGGAGCTCCGGAGGATGCAGGATCAGCTGCCAACTGACAGCTTGGAGCACAGGATTTTAATAGTTTCTAGTAATAGATGATTTAAACTAGCAAAACAGTTTTTGTCTCTTACAGTCGTGTTTCTTCCCTGCCCCCATACTGGGGATTAAGCCCAGTGGTGCTTTACCACTGGCTACATCCCCAGCCCTTTTTATTTCTCATTTTGGGACAGGGTCTTGATGAATTGCAGAAGCTGCCCTGAAACTTGCAGTCCTCCTGCCTCAGCCTCCCAAGTCACTGGGATTACAGGCAATTACAGGCCACCACACCCAGCTATCTGTCATGGTTTCTGACAGTCTCCCTAAACCTTCCCTTGAGAAACACTGAAAACTCTTTAATCTGGGGCATACTGGCGTATTAGGATTTTACCAGTATTGTTTAGGGCAAAAGAAAATCAAGGTTTTAAAAAAGCTAAGCATAGTGGCAGGCAACTGTAGTCTTAACTACTTGGGAGGTTTGGGAGTTGTTAGCTCATGAGTAGTAATTGAAACAACTAAAGGGGATAAACTAGGGGGAATGTAGAGTAAGAAAGAAAAGACTAGAGCCTCAAGGATTGTTAATATTTAATGATTAGGAAGAAGAGGATCATCCAGAAAAGATGGAAACTAAGAAAATAAAATAAGGAAGTCAAAAGTATAAAGTGTTGCAGGGAGGGAGTGGAGACTGAAAAGTATTCATTGAAGTTAAGAGACCTGGAGGGGGCTAGGGTGTGGCTCAGAGGTAGAGCGTTTGCCTAGCATGCGTGAAGCACTGGGTTCGATCCTCAGCACCACATAAAAATAAAAAAATAAAGGTATTGTGTCCATCTACAATTAAAAAGTAAATGTTTTAAAAAATAAAAAAGAGACCTGGAGGTCCTCTGTGATCTTTGCAAGAGTATGTGTAATACAGTATGAAATTTGCACGGGAATGGGAGATGAAGAAGGAGAGACCAAAAGAGAACTACTTGAAGAAGTTGCCTATGAAAGGAAGGAGAATGAGAAGAAGTAGCTGGAGGGGGAGATGTAGAGACATGCTCCCACCCCCTCGTATCAATGTTATTTCATAGGAGAGCCACTAATAACAGAACCTGCTTAGGGTGGCTCTCAGCTGGGCCTCCCGGGACACATGTCTTTGCTTTCCTTGTCTCAGAAAACGATGAGCAAGGCCGAGCACCAGCATTAAATCAGTTCTTCCTTGCTTCCACAACAGGAGGTTCTGGGGGAAGAGAAGCTGAAGGAGATACTGAAGGAGCGAGAACTTAAAGTTTATTGGGGAACAGCAACGACAGGCAAGCCACATGTAGCTTATTTTGTGCCCATGTCAAAGATTGCTGACTTCTTAAAGGCAGGATGTGAGGTAAGAATCCATGGTATCAGCTAAGTAGTTTCCCTCAGGGAATGATAAAAAGAGATTAACAAGAATGAGGGAGGGGGAGATGGTTTGGAGATAATGGACAAAAATCACATTTTGGTGATCCTTATGCTTTATGGCTAGGTAACGATTCTGTTTGCGGACCTTCACGCATACCTGGATAACATGAAAGCCCCATGGGAACTTCTAGAACTCCGAACTGGTTACTATGAGAATGTGATCAAGGCAATGCTGGAGAGCATTGGCGTGCCCTTGGAGAAGCTCAAGTTTGTCAAAGGCACTGATTACCAACTCAGCAAGTAAGTGCTTAATTACTCATGCTCCTCCTGGCTCTGGTGCTTCTAGCTAATTATAGACCTGTGGAGTCTAGGCATTCTGTAAGTTTGGATTAGAAGCTATATAGCAGTACCTGTTAAGAACCATTAAAAAAAAAAAAATCTAGGGCTGTGGCTCAAGCAGTAACGCGCTCACCTGGCATGCGCGAGGTGCTGGGTTCGATCCTCAGCACCATATAAAAATAAAATAAAGATGTTGTGTCCGCCGAAAACCGAAAAATGAATATTAAAAAATTCTCTCTCTCTCTTTAAAAAACAACAACAAAAAAAAAATGTGTGTTCTTTGACCTCTTAATTCATCCATCAAAAATGAGCCAACTAGCTGTGCATGCCTGTGATCCTAGCGGCTTAGGAGGCTAAGACAGGAGGATCTTGAATTCAAAGCTAGCCTCAGCAACATCAGGGCGCTAAGCAACTCAGTGAGATCCTGTCTCTAAATAAGCTACAAAATAAGGCTGAGGATGTGGCTCAGGGGTTGAGTGCCCTGAGTTCAATCCCCAGTACAACATAGTGAGACCCTATCTCAAAATATTTAAAAAGTAGGTGATGGTGAGCTAGGGTTGTAGCCCATTGGTAAAGCACCCTTGTGTTCAATCCCCCTGTAAAATAAATAAACGAATGAATAAATAAATAACCTGGGTTCAGCCCTCCCCTCAATAAAACAAATAAATAAGAGAAAGAAAGGAAGAATGAACCAACAAACCAGTAAATACCTGGGTACTGTTCTCCTTGTTGGAGATACAAATGTAACATAACAAAGTTGCAGAACTTAGAGCTTGTGGGAGAGGGATAGTAAGTGATCATCCTCCCTTTCTCATCCAGCCTCAGCTAATAATGATAAAAAGCTAAAGAGATTGCACACATTTCTCACCTCCCCAACCATTCTTATTGCTTGTTTGTCAATTATATTCATATTTGGGCTGGGGTTGTGGCTCAGTGGTAGAGTGCTTGCCTAGCATGTGTAAGGTACTGGGTTCAATTCTTACCACCACATAAAAAAATAAAGATATTGTGTCCATCTACAGCTAAAATATTTTTTTAATTATATTTGTGATATTGTTGTATATATAATTTTGTATGTTTTTGTTTTCTGGGGATTGAACTGAGTGAGGGTCTCACACATGCTAGGCAAGCACTCTACCACTGAGCTACGTCTCCAGCCCCATAATTTAAAATGTCTAAGACCTCTAAAATAAGTCTTTATAGTCTACATAGCATAGGTCACTCTCCTAGGCATATTTGCATTGAAACTCTCAAAACAACCTTTTAAGGTAAGCATATTTGCATTGAAACTCTCAAAACAACCTTTTAAGGTAAGCATACTATTACTATTATCAGTGAAATAGAGATTCAGATTTAACTTTCCCAAGTTTACACACATAATAAGTAAATGAGTTAGGATGTGAATCCAGATCTTTTGCTTACTTGTAATTTATCATTTTTAAATTTACCATTTCTTGCTTACTTGTAATTTACTTGTAAATTATCATTTTACTTCTTCTAATATATAATTTTCTTTATTATTTTCCACTGTTGGACATTTAGAGTTTTGAAAAAAGAATATAAACACCTTCATATAAACAGATCTTTAATCCTCTAGTCTCTGTAGAGTGCCTGAGATTTAATTCTTGTTTTGTTTTTTGTAGTACTGGAGATTGAACTTGGGTCTTACCACTGAAATATACGCACATACAAACAGAGAGAGCAAGAGATCAAGTGTGTTTATATATGTGTATATATGTATATAAATTGTGTGTGTTTGTGTAGATGGTGATAGGTGCTAAAAGCAGGCAACAGGTGGGTAGTTCTTGGACAGTAGGAGTTAACTTTCTTTTTAAGTAGAACAGCTAAGGGAAACCACTCTGAAAATATTAGGCAGAAACCTGAAGAAGATAAGGGAACAAATCATAGAAATATGTATTAAGTTCATACCATCTGCCAAACTCTATTCTAGACCCTGGAGTTATAACCATGAATAACACAGCCAAGGTTTTTATTCTCCTAAGACTTAATAAAATTTGGGTATGGGAAGGTAGGATAAATAAATAAGCTATCTTGTTTCAAGTCACTTGATCTTTTTTATGTACAAAAGTGACTTTAAAGAAAGATGGCTTTGTAGTACACACTTTGATACACTTCTGTTCCAAGCACAGCAGTGATAGATGAAAGGACATAGCCCAGTTCAAAAACCAACTAAACATTTCCGTGGGAAGAGAAACAAAACTGAAATGTAAATTGGTGAGTTGGATTGAAGTTACAGGTCTGCCTGTGTTCCATTTCACAAACTAGCATAGTTTATAAGCCCAGCAGTGAGGGCAAACCAAGCTTACTGTGTGAACCAGAGAATAGAGTAGGGCTTTTCTCCTTTTTCCATTCCCATACCTACCTTCAAGGAAGGTAGAACCTGGAATAGGAACATCACTAGCAACTCACCTGGGTCTCTAGGGATTTCCATCAAGTTTCAGGCCTATGGAGACTTGACATACCAAGAATTAAACCAAGCTGCCCACCATTTATGTGTTATGTCCTAATATTACCAAAATGACAAGCTCTAACATATCAAGAAATAGTATCTACTTAAAAAGAAAAGAAATTTTTTTCTTTTTTTTTTTTTAAAGAGAGAGAGAGGAGAGAGAATTTTTAATATTTATTTTTTTAGTTCTCGGCGGACACAACGTCTTTGTTGGTATGTGATGCTGAGGATCGAACCCGGGCCGCACACATGGCAGGCGAGCGCGCTACCGCTTGAGCCACATCCCCAGCCCAGAAAAGAAATTTATTATAAGACAGATGCAGGAATGAAACATGAATATATAAATATAAAAAGAACCGTTTAGGGGCTGGGGTTTGTGGCTCAGTGGTAGACTGCTCACCTAGTGTGAGGGAGGCCCTGGGTTTGATCCTCAGCACCACATAAAATAAATAAATAAAAACAGAGGTATAAAAAAGATTTGTTTTTTAAAAAAAAAAAGAACCATTTAGAAACCTCAATTTCAGTCTTTAGAGAAAAAAAACGAACTTGAAATATACAGGATCAACTGTAGACTTAATTAATGAGTGAATCTGTGAAGTTCACACAGAATGCATCCCAGAGACATGGGCAGAAAAAAAAATACATAGAGTGATTAAGATGTAAATAAGGACTTTCTTTTCTAGCAGTCTTGTAGACCAATTACTATGACCTACCTTTATGCCAAAAACAACTAAAAATGCCAGACAACCTGGGCGGGGGGTGGGGGCGGCTACCAGGGATTGAACTCAGGGGCACTTGACCACTGAACAATATCCCCAGCCCCGTTTTGTATTTTATTTAGAGATAGTGTCTCACTGAGTTACTTGGTGCCTTGATGTTGCTAAGGCTGGCTTTGAACTCATGATCCTCCTGCCTCAACCTCCAAGAGAACAAGCAAAAGTGAGAATACAAAGAGATACTGTACTTCATTTGACCATACAGTCAGCCCTTCAGGTCCACAAATTCAGCCAACCTCAGATCCAAAGTAGGCTTTTGTTCTTGTCATTATTGCCTAACTGATAAAATATGACAACTACTTCTATAGTATTTGCATTGTACAGTCATCCCTCAGTGTCTGCAGGTAATTGGTTGTAGAACTTCCCCTGGATACCAAAGTCTATAAATGCTTAAATTCTTTATATAAAATGATACATGTAACCAAGGCACATCCTCCTGTATACTTTAAATCATTTCTAAACTGATTATAATATCTAATACAAGGAAATGCCATATAAATACTTGTTATATGATATTGTTTAGGGAGTGATGACAGAAAAATAAAAGTACATGTTCAGTAAAAAAGCAGTATTTTTTTCCAAATATATTTGATTTGCAGTTGATCAAGTACACAGATGTGAGACCCATGGATTTGGAGGGCTGACTGTATTAGATATTATAAGTAATTTACAAATGGCTTAAACTTTATGAGTGAATGTGCAGAGGTTATATGCAGATATTATGCCATTTTATATCAAGGAGGGACTTGAGCATCTGTGCCTTTGGTATCCACCTGTCCCCTGCAACAGTTACCCAGGAACAAAATAACTATTAACTAATGTATAACATGCCATTGTTTATAAGGTAATCTAAATTGCAAAGGTGTTAAATATTTTTTTAAAAAATACCTCTTAGCCAGATGTGGTGGTACACACCTATAATCCCAGTGATTCTGGATGCTGAAGCAGGAAGATTGTAAATTTGAGGACAGCCTCAAGTACGTGAGGCCCTACGCAACTTAGCAAGACCTTGTCTCAAAATTTTAAAAGGGGGCTCAGTGGTTAAGCATTCTTGGGTTCAATCTCAAGTGCAAAAAAAAAAAAAAGTCTTTTAGAATCTCAACTGATAAGTACTCACATCTTGAGAGAGCGCTTATGATCTCAGGACGGGAATACTTAAGACACTTGATAATGCCAGGCAGAGTTACACATACCTTGTAATGTAAGCAATTTGGGAGGATTACAGGTTGAAGAGCAGCCTCAGCAACTTAGTATGACCCTATCTCAAAATAAAAAGAGAGAGAGAGAAAGTTAAGCTACAAACTAGGACAAGATATAACACAGATAATATCCAATACTATGTCTCAAACTTACAGTCAGTTGTTTTTAAAAATGTGTCAATCCAGTAGAAAAAGACTTAAGTAGGCATTTATTTCTCAGATGTTAATGATCAATAAGCATATGCAAAGAATAATAGCTTCCTTGGATATTACTCAAAGAAATTTTGATTAAAACTGTAGTAAGAAATCATTCCATACTCACCAATTAGCAAAGATTTAAAATAATGATGATATTAAACTGAAATTGATAAAAACCACATGGGAAATAGTTTGGCATTAGCCCATTGAAGTTCAAGATGCAAATTCCCTGTGATAGAGATTCTAGGGCATATATATAAAACTTCTACATGTATACTGGAATACACAGACAAGGATATTTATAACACATTGTTTAGAGATATAAATGGAAAACTAGAAAGAAACACCAAGTTCAGGATAATGGTTACTCTGAAGAAGGAGGAGGAGGAGAAAGATTCTAAAGGGTGCTCAGTAGCTTCAGAAGTAATTGTTAGATCTTTTTGCTTAAGTTTGTGTTTTGTTTTGTTTTGTTTGTACCAGGGATTGAACCCAGGGTCACTTAACCACTGAGCCACATCCCCAGCCCTATTTTGTATTTTATTTAGAGACAGGGTCTCACTGAGTTACTCAGGGCCTTGCTGAATTGCTGAGACTAGTCTTGTGATCCTCCTGCCTCAGCCTCCCAAGCCATTGGGATTTCAGGTGTGCACCACCATGCCCAGCTTTAGATCACTTTGTTTAAACTGGATGTTGTTTGTATTGTTCAAAACGCATGGGAGAAAGAATTCCAGAAGAAAGGTAGAGGGGAATGGCAGAGAAGCAGTATGTCATGGATAATAACAATGTTTTCTGGAGGCAAAGTAAAAATTAAAGCTGTTTTTTCAAAAGGAAAAACAAGCTGGTATAGTGGCAGAAGCCTGAAATCCCAGTGACTCAGGAGTCTAAGACAGGAGGATCTCAAGTTTGAGGCCAGCCTGGGCAATTTAGTGAGATCCTGCCTCAAAATTAAATAAGAAGGGCTGGGGATATAGCTCAGAGGTCAAGTGCTCCTGAGTTTAATCTCCGGTCCTAGGGAGTGGAAGACAGGAAAAACGTAACAATAAAGTAATGTTTTGGATGAGCGGGCAATCTCTTACATTTTAGAAACTACCCGGTAGAGCTATCTTCAAATAGCTTAAGATTAAGACAAGATATCCTGGGAAACTGAGACCTACGTTCAGTTTTATGATTGTCCCCTCTTTTCCTCTTCAGAGAGTACACATTGGATGTGTACAGACTGTCCTCTGTGGTCACACAGCATGATGCCAAGAAAGCTGGAGCTGAGGTCGTAAAGCAGGTGGAGCATCCTTTGCTGAGTGGTCTGTTGTACCCTGGACTGCAGGTACTTAAGACAAATAGAGTGGCCCCAGTGATCTTTCTGCTCTCTTTCTTTCTTTTGAAGCTGGGTATTGAACTCATGTCCTTATTTATACATGATAGGCAAGTGTTGTACCTCTCCCAGCTACTTTATGCTCTGTTTCTAATGATGAACACCAACTTCTATCAACATCAGTAAACCAGTGAACTTGCTGTTCCTTCACCAACTTCTGGGACTTCCTTCTTGTCTGTCCCCCTCCCCACATCGCTGGCTTCCTGGAACATTCTTTTACTTCTTCAGTTGTAAGTCCTCTTCCTGTCTGTCCTATAAGACATTGCTTATCTCACACATCATCTTTATCTCTTAATCAGAGCAAAAAAAGTTCAGAGAGATGTGTGAAAATAAATTTTAGACATGATTCTGTTTTTCAGTAAAGAAAACAATTACAGGCTGGAGTTGTGACTCAGAGGTAGATCGCTGGCCTAGCAACTGCAAGGCCCTGGGTTCGATCCTCAGCACCACATATAAATAAATAGATACAAAGAAAGGTATTGTGTCCAACTTCAACTAAAAAATAAATATTAAAAAAAAAAAAAGAAAAAGAAAACAATTACATCACATTTCATGGGTGTGTGTATATCTATGAGTTAGGAGAAAGATGGAAAAATACACCAAGCAAGCAGTTGATACTGTTTATCTCAGGAAGGTGGCATAAAAATTAAAATATAGTTAACTATATCTCTGGGAAAAGAAAATGAAGTCTCCTCTTGTCATCTCATACAATTCTTTGTCAGCATTAAATCTGAAGACATACTATATCAGCCCTATCTAATATGGTAACCTGTAGTCATAGTTACATGAGGCTATTAAAATTAAGTTAATTAAACTAAAGTTTTATCCAGGTGAGGTGGCATACACCCCTGTAGTCCCAGCTACTCAGGAAGCTGACATAGGAGGGTCACTTGAGTTCAGGAGGTTGAGGGTATCCTGGGCAACACAGTAAGTCCTCGTCACAAAAAAAATAGTTAAAATTTGTTCTTTAGTTACATTGATGTACGCTGTACATTCAGTGTATATTCCTTAAAGAGGAAAGAAGGGATAGCCATAGACTATCCTGGACAATTCTGGAAGCCACATGTGGCTGTTGGCTACTATCTCAGCTCAGATATGGAACATATTCATCATCCTGAAGGTTCTATTGGACAGTACTGTTTTAGATTGTCCCTGTTTATTCAACCTTCTTTTACTCTCTCTTCCTTTCTATCCTCAGCCTGTCATGCACCAAATTTTATTAGTTCTGCTTCTTAAAAACTCTTAAATTAGGGACTGGAGTTGTGGCTCAGTGGCAGAGTGCTCACCTAGTATAGGTGAGGCACTGGGTTTGAGCCTCAGCCCCATATAAAAATAAATAAATGAAAATAAAGTCATTGTGCCCACCTACAACTAAAAAAATCCCCAAAAATAAAAACTTAAATTAGCTGGGTGTAATGGCACACACACATGAAATCCCAATGGTTTGGGAGGCTGAGGCAAGAGGATCATGAGTTCAAAGCCAGCCTCAGCAACTTAGCAAGACCCTGTCTCAAAAAATAAAATGGGCTGGGGAAATGGCTCAGTGGTTAAATGCTCCTGGGTTTAATCCCTAGTATCAAAAGAAAAAGAAAGAAACCCTCTTAAGTTCATTTTTGCTACTGGTGTGATCTTTTTACTGATCTGGTCCTGTTTTTCTTCACCCTGAAACCATTCAGTGGCCAGTTAGCACTAAGCACGGTAGCATGACACTTCAAGGTCCTTACCTACTTTTCTAACCTCTTCACTCACTATTTCCCACATTCCTTGAAGTGCGTTTGCAGACTGAATCATTCACAATTTCCCCTGAAACTTCACACCTATGCCTTCTTGCACATTCTGTTTCCTCTTCATGGTAAAAAACATCTATGTGTTTTTTAAAGCCAAGCTCAGCCCACGTCTGATTCTAGGAAGCTTTCCCCACACCCGTTTGAGAGAGGTGATGTGTTGTGTTGGCACTGCTCCCACATGAACATCTAGGCTAGCTCTTAAACGCTGAAGTGGTTGTTTACATGTCTCTCCCCAAGTGGGTAATTGGCCTTCTTGAAAGGAGTCTGGTTCTGATTCTTCTCTGCATTTGCAGAGCTGGCACCAAGCCTATAATATTTTAACAGTCATTGTTCCTTTTTTTCTTTCTTTCTTTTTTTTTTTTTTTTTTTCCTTGTTCTGGAGATTGAGACCAGGGCCAGGGCCTCTTGTATGCTAAGCACACACTACCACTGAGCTACATGCCCA